TAAAATCTTATGATCAATGAACAAAAGGTCAAAAGACGGCCGGGGGACGTGACTCCTGTTGGGGAGCTTGGTGAACCCCAAGCACCAAGTAACTGCTTCCTACCTTTAACCGTAACGGGACTCGAGATCTCACTCAACAGCTTGGAGCCAGCGCACCCAAACCACTGAGCCAGAATTCATGTTCGAATTTCGCACGGTACAGATCAATACTAATTTGTATATTAGAGTTGATACAGTATAGTATACACAGCTAGGTAAAATTGAGAAGTCACTACGTCTATACACATTAATATAGACAAACTTTCAACTAAAGTTTAAAAATTGGAGTATATTCTTAGTATAGTTTAGAAATAAAATATTTTTTCTACATTTCGAATAATTCTAACATCAAGTTTTTCGTTTTTCTCTACATTCTAGATAGATATCGTAAGAAGTGTGATAAATAATATTTTTAGGTCTATTGCAAAAGGTGATACAATTGTGTTCTAAACACATTGTTATGAAAAATACGGGGAAGGTCAACAGCAGAGTCTATCTTTCAGGCACATGCAGCAAAAAATGGAGTGGATCATTTGTCCTCCATAATTTACAAGCAGGTTACCACATCAACCCTAGACATTATACGTGCGCATGTCCTCAATGAATTACCTGGTTCTTATTTATCACACACGCGTGGATACTATTACCGCCAAAACGGGAATACTATATCTAAATTCTACAAATCTTGCTAGGGCAACTATTGTCAGCACCGAATATTTAGCGTAACCCACTGGACGATCTACTTTAATGTTCTTTAGCTTTTTTAAATGGGTTTATTGCAAAAGGTGATACAAATAGAAAATATTTGCGAGATGTGATACAATTGTATTTTAAACACCATTGCCAAGAATGGCTACATTCGGTAATTTTACCAGGTCTCGTATTTTGAGTGTTTGAACACGCTTGTATCACATCTCGCGAATCTTTTATATTTGTATCACCTTTTGCAATAAACTTTAATATTTGTATTGCCACACTGCTGTACCATTGGTGGGCTTTTACAAAAAAAGAAAAATATCAATTGAAGCTACATAAATATAATTGATTGACTATAAAACAGATGTATGGTTAAAAATCCTAACAACGACAATGGCGGAGCTATGTTACCCATACATGTAGTGCTATCGTAATTCCTTCCCTCTGCAGTTATGATCTGTCGTGTCAGGGTATCACCCATGACTTGGTGTGATAATGTTCCATATGCAAAAATTCTTGCACCGTCCTCAGCACTTATTGTAACGAGGTACGTGATCACTGTATCGTTCACAATAGTAAAGTACGTACTATTATGAACAGTACAGTAAAACCTGTCTAAATTAAACATGTTGGGACTGGGTTACAGTGTTTAATTTAGAGAGGGTTTTCAATAAAAGAGGGTAGCATAGGTACGATGCCCAACATGGGTCCATATCTTCTGTTCAATTTAGAGAGGGTTTTGAGTTGAACAGGTTTAATTTAGACAGCTTCTACAGTACAGTGTTATGTGCGTACACAATATTACGACACTTCTTGATGACGACTCCACCGGACATCACACCACTTCGATAAATTTATCTCGCCAAATAGATGGATGCGATAACACACAGTTAGATCAAAAGTATTAACTGCTGTGTCCTTCTAAGCACAGGAACAGCGGCGACGTGAAACCGAATCATGATCGTGTAATATACACAAATATGCACGAAATCGAGCACTTGAAAAGGGCACAAATCTGCTCAGGATATAAGAGTTATGTATTATGGACAAGTTTCCCACTACAACGTTCGAGCACTGACACCATTGTGTGGAATATAGACCCAATTCCTGCCATTACACTTTGGTTGATTGCAGCACAGTGGAATCCTGGCTAAAAAAACAAACCATATTGTTTGCAGCACAGTGGAATCCTGGCTAAAAAAACAAACCATATTGTTTGCAGCTACATGACGTCTGCGCGAATGATTACGCTGAAGCTGAAATTACGAGACTGCTGAGTCGTTGTGACATACATAGGATTAGTCTAATCCGCTAAATCATTTGTTTAAAGCAAGGACAGTGATCACGAAAAAGAAACTTTATTGGAATCATTCGGATTGGAAAGTTGTCGCCCAGACGACGCAATCAACTAAGTCATCATTTTAGAATCAAGATTAGAGTGCAGGGTGTTGGTACGCCGTAGAACACCATTTTGAGATCTTATCAAGACCTTGATAAATTGTTTAATGCTAATGATGCTGGCCTCGAAAGTGATTTTTGCACCGCTAGGACGAAAAGTTTCTTAGATTTTGATTCGGACGTTTGTAGTTTGGTACGTTGCTGTTCCGCATCTACTGTTTTCCAAGAAGACCATAGAAGTGGCGTCGTGTGGAGGTTACTAGCTTGCTGATAGGGTCAACATGCATGATCTTTAGAATGTAGTTTAGCTCCTAAAGACTGTGAAACTTCGTACGGCTTATGGGCTTGATAAAAATGTCAGTGACGGCGGGCGAGAGAGAAAGGTAATGGAAATTGAATGGCAGAATTTGCACGCTCAGTCTGCTCTGCCATCAAAATTTGTGATTAAGGTAGTTTTCAGTGTTCATTTTAATTAACTGTTGTTAACTTCCAAACTTAACCAGCTTGCATTACTGAGTCAGATCATCAGACAGCTTCAATACTTTTCTGTCCCAGTGCTCGATGAACTTACCTAGTGTTGCAAGAGCAATGACATCATTAGATTTGGTAAATCACGCTGATTTTTCATCTCAAGATTGTTTTTGTAGTTACCTTGCTTTGTAATGTAAGTAAGTAAGTCAGAATTCAGATTAGTGTTGAGCTTCTTGACTTTTCGAACATACCTTATCAGCGCTATGATTCCCTTACCGTTTTCCAGCTCTTTTAACAGAGTATTTAATAATTCTTGCTGTAGACGAATGTAACGCAACCGAAAATAATAGTAATCCATATCATTTTGATATGTAAGCAGGTGTTGGTCATAATAGGCCTGAGTAATACCATATTGTGGATGACGTGGCTTGACATCCTCGAGAGGTTGTATCTGCTGAGCTTTGGCTGCTTGCTTACTCTTCATTTGTCGAAATGCAGCATAATACAACTTGAGATGACTCAGACTCTCAAGCGTCGACTGTTCAAAACCCTCATAAAGCTTCAAATCTGCCTGAATCTTAGTAGATTCCCTTACTAAGAACTTCTTCAACACGTTTTTTATCCATTTAATGGTTAAATGAGTGGCTTCGAGCTGCTCAATGATGTCGACAGCGTCAAACCTTTCTTCCATTGCAGGAGATTGAACTCGTACATTCCGCGCCGTAGGAGCGTCACTAACCGTCTTTTCCTGCTCATTGTCAATCGTGTACGAAGCTTCAATCCTCGACAACAATAAGGCAGTAGTCAAAAGACTTTGGTACAGCTTCATCTTCTTGGTTCGTTGGCAAACGAAAAACTGAGCGTTTATTACTGATTCTCGCTCCCTCTATAACCAGCAAGTTGCAACACGCTCATCAACATTACTATGTAATGCGGAGCTTTTATGCATAGACATATCCGAATAGATTATAGGTCATTTCTGATAATTGTGTCTGGCATTTCGAATCAGGATAGCATCAAATATGACTTCTTTTCCTGAATTATGTATCTTTTGATGATATGCATGAAGAAATTTACATGAATATAATTGGCTGGTGTTTTTTAGAGATTCTTCGTGGTAACTATATACTATATAGAGCGCTATTTAGAATATCGAGATGAAGCTTATAAATAAATTTTTAATTGCCCCATCTTCCGTTCTGACTTGTTTGGAACCCTTCAAAATTACAAATAAAGCAGTAGCTCTTCAGGATCTTTTATGACATTTTATAACCCATCCTCCTTATGAATCAGCCGCAGCCCTTCTGTCGTATGGGTGATACTTATCCGAATATATCAAAATATAATAGCTGTGCCATGGGTGGCTATTACTAAAAAAGAAAAATATCATTTGAAGCTGTATGAACATAATTAATAACATATAAGATTCTCACAACGTTAATGGCGGAGCCGTACAGTTAGTGCCATCGTAATCCCTTCCCTCTGCAGTATTAGTCCATGTACCTCGTCGTGTTAGGGTATCATCAATTACTAGATGTGATCAATAGGTCTTCTCCAATGAGAGCGATACTATTTACTCGTCGAGTCCCGACCCAACAACATAAAAGTCGCATTATTTCCATAAACGGAAGCCTATCTGAAGATGAAGGATTTTCTACGATGTGCCTCACCTCTCAGTGAGATGCGCACTCGATGTTCCTTTTCTATGCCCCAACACCCTCGAAAAACAGTAGTGAAATCAAAGCGCTAATAATTTATTATCTTAAACTCGGGAGGCTAAAAAAAGTATGAAATTCGACTTAATTACAAAATAAAGGTAACTAGAAAAAGAATCTTTAGATGAAAGATCAGCGTGATTTACCAAATCTAATGATGTTATTGCTCTTGCAACCCAATTTGTACCCACAAATTCGTTTTTCCTGAATTGTGTACCTCAAAATGCCAGACACAATTATCAGAATGACCTATAATATCAGTTATAAAAGCACGTTGTGTTGAAAAAAAAAAGTGGCTGGCTACGGGAAGGGCGAGAATCAGTGATGAACGCTCAGTTATCTTTTGTCGGGAACCTCCGAACCAGAAAGATGAAGGTGTACCAGAGTCTCTTAGCTGCTGCCTTGTTGCTGTCGAGGATTGAAGCTTCATACACGATAGACAAAGAGCAGGAAAAGACGGGTAATGACGACATCACGGCGCTGAATTTACGAGTCCACTTTCCTACAATGGAAGAAAGAGGCATCAATCTGAACATCATTGAGAAAATCAATGCACAGTGGAAAGACTTGATGACTTTTTATGAATTAAAAAGTGACAGGACGACGATGACCCTACATAACATCCGATCGGAGATTGAGACGAAAAAAAAACAAGCGCAGATAGCTCTTGACAAGTTTCTGACGATAAAAGCGCGGAGTATTCTTGAGAAAGAGTCGCTCAATACCAATCCAGCTAAAAATCAGCTGGAACAACATAGCGAAAATTCTCAGCATGCTCACGCTCCTATCGCACCCACGACGCAAAACATGCTGGAAATTGACAAAAACCTGAAAGCGGAAATTTTCCGCATCGCTCACTCAAATCTTCGACTGAATTTTCATGATCAACAGATAGAATTGCTAAATGATCTTAGGAATGGGTGGAATAATATCCAACCTTTCAAAGCGCTAAAGAAGTATATGACTGACCTCAACAAGCTCGAAACCAACAGGGATAATCTCTATCGCTCTTATTTTCCGGAAATGAAAAATCAGCCTGAGGAGCCAGGAGAAAAAGTCAACCCCTTGGCAAAACAGGATGTTTCTCGCTCTCCCCAACACGAATAAAAGAATCATGTCTCAAGATCAAATTCTCCGCAGATGATTTCGACAAACAGAATCTTGGTGAGATTTGGATCTCTAGAGTACCTTGTTCTCTATGGACTTCTCGCGCATCGGTTTGGCAAAGTTACTGACTCCAAACGGATCGATCTGGCTTCTCCCACTCCAGCCCCTGTGATGAAAGAGATGCTATCGCTTCGTCACTCTGAACCAAAAAGCCGTATCAATCCTGTTGCTGTCAGACAGTAATGCAAGTCTAGTTAAGTTTGGAATATCATAAAAAATAAATCAAAGCGATCAAAGTCAAATAATTTGAGTGCAGAGCAGACTGCGTCTGCTGAGCACAGATACCGAGAGAGCGTAGTCGATAAACAGGTTGCGACCCTGGGTTAGAAGAGGCGTTTGAATGAGCGTTGGATTTTAATCCTCGATTACCTTGGCGGTGGCATCTTCAAGAAGCTAAACTTTGACTACAAAGACCTAATTAATGCATTTGAACCGTCGAGCTAGAGACCTTGAAAGTGAAGTTGCTGGTGCAGGTAAGTTTTGTGTGGGCGAAGTACCATATTGTGCTTCGCCCACACAAAACTTACCTGCACTAAGTACAATATAGTACTTAGTACCATATTGTACTAAGTACTATATTGTACTTAGTACCGTATTACTTCATGGTACTAAGTACAATGGTACAATATGGTACCATATTATGGTATATATATATACATAATATGTATATATATTATATATATAGTACCAAATTGTACTATATAGTACTATATGGTACTATTGTACAATATTTGGTACAATGTTGAACCACCATATATTGTACAATATATGGTACAACAGTACTATACAATATTATATTGTACAATATTGTACCATATAGTACTATACATATATTGTATTATTGTACCATATTGTACAATATACGGTACAATATACGGTACCATACCGTACAATATGGTACCATATACTATATAGTACAATATAGTACTATATAGTATATGGTACCATATAGTAGAATATACAATATGTATATTGTATTGTACTATGTGGTACTAAGTACCACTGTACAATATAGTATATAAGTACTATATTGTACTTAGTACTTCATGGTACTTCATGGTACCATGGAGTACTTCATGGTACTTCACGGTACTTCATGGTACCATATAGTACTTCGCCCACACAAAACAACAATATGGTTCACAACCAGATATTTCAAGCCGTGGAGCGAGCAAGATATACGACAGCGAAGTCATGCTTGCTAACGAAGGAATTATCAACGTCTCTTGATGAGACAAGGCGACTTTACATTATCACTATTAGCTTCAGTAGCGAGCTTAGTTATCATACGCCATTAGGTCGGGTCTCCGTCTCAGGCACCTGTACTTCATCGTGTGTCTCTTGGTCCTAAAGCATTGCTACCTCGGCAAATTGCAGCTCTTTGAACTGCTTCGTAGTCACCCAGATAACCCACTTGTCGAGCTCTCCACAAACAATAGCATCCCTTGCAAAAGTTTTGCGGAGAGTGGGTCCTATTATTTTATACTCGAATTCAGATAATTAACACCAAATGTGGTACCTTTCGAGAAGGTACTCAATATACGCCTGATAACCCACACATACACACTCAAGTGATTGACGGCATCAACCTCATACTGTTCTGCATGCAAGACACGCAATTTGTAAAAATCGGTATCTCTTGATATAGCACGTGTAAGCTCTTGAATAACTTGCAACCAATAGTGATTTCCATGGCGAGACCCTTGATGCTGTCGCATATTGCCGAACACTCATCAATGATTTCAAAGGTGTTAATACGCCGAGGTGGCGAAGATGTAAGCTTAAGATTATTGCCACATCGAGCTACGATGCAATCATTAACACTGTAGCTGAAAGAGAACTAAGGGTAGGCATTGGACGAATAAGGAATGATTCACAAAGTGCTCAAGCAAGTATGGGCTGGTCAATTCAAATGCGGATCAGTGAGTGCGATAGATTAGATGACAGTATGGAGCTGCGGTGCAGGTGAAAAAGATTTTAGATAGATTTATATTTGGATATCATATTTGCGGTGCATTAGACCCATCGACTGACGGAGGAACTCAACGTTTGTTTTTAATATCATATAAAAAGGTGATGAAATATTTTTTTAAACCAGGTAGCCGAAGTCTGAGGAGATCGTCTCGAGCAAACCCATATATGCGATCATGCCAGAATAGAAATGACCAAGCTTGAAAACGTGAAAGTTACTAATAGTGAGTGATAAAGATATTGGTCACGGGGATGTGATCTTAGCTAGGCAAGAATTGAATGAACGCAAGGAAAGAATAGAACTCAGATCGAAAGGACAATGACTAAAAGCGCAAGATTTGTAAAGCTTTGAGTCTACATCAACTTGCCGATTTTTATTCTTTACCATTGGAGTTGTCTGAGCTGCGCTAGTGTTATCCTATTGCCCTATTCAAAATTCAAGACTCTTTGATCTATCCTCTTAAACTTCTGATTGGCTATTCGACATGTCGTGCAGTCCTAGCAATGCTTAAGTGTCGCCTTCCTCTGCTGTCTGGGGCATAGCTCGCTATCAATCTGTTTCAACTCAAAGCCTACTTGAATTCAAACTTGGCTTGCCATTCGTCGGAACAGCGTAGTAGCTGCCGCCGATCGGGTCATGACTTTGCCGATTCTGCGTCGTATCCAGGAAGCAAGGGGCTTAATGATCGCCGCAAATTTCTCGAAGTTTACGCACCCATAAAGACGTCAGTCAG